CGTCCGTCCTGCGGCCAGCGATCCTATCGTTCTCCAACAAGATCGGGACTGCCTGGCTGACGAAGGACAACCGGCTCGAAGGTCTGAGGGAAGACAGGCATGGGCCGGATCATCATCCCCTATAATAAAAGCGTGATGTCTGTCTGTCTGTCTGTTCGCACCTTATGGACTATTTCGCTCCATCATTTGGACCTGATTTGTGTTAATTACATAACCCCCTATCACCCCCTACGATATCACCCCCTATAATAAAAGCGTGATGACTGTCTGTCTGTCAGTTCGCGCCTTATGGACTATTTCGCTCTATCATTTGGACCTGATTTTGTGTTCACTACATATGGAACGATCCCGTCCTATGCCTATGTGACTTTGACATCATTCCCAACCACCGTTTCCCAGAAGGAAGTGAAATACTCCTCCAGTATGCACACTGACGTCATCGTGAGTCCAAGATGGCGCACTCGCACCAGAGCTGGCGCGACCTCAGGATTTGACGGCCGAGCTCTTTCGAGCCTCGCTTCGGGTATACAGTTCGGATCAACTGCTGCCTATGGATCGTTTATCGCTGATCAGACGTCGCGAGAATTCGCCCCTCCCTCAAGAAATTATCCATCCTCCCGAGGACGATCCTCGAAAATCGCGCTCTTTGGAGGCAGAATCGTGCGAAAACTTCCGTTTCCCTTCTTAGATCAATCAATTTCGCGCCCCCTGAGAAGCGTCCCCGGGGAGACCAGTCTTTCCCCATTTTTACGCTTATGAAAAGCTCATAAGTGAACGGGCTTCAGCAGCTTCGACAGACGCGCGGGAATGTTTCCCACTTCAGGAGATTCGCTGACGGTACCGAAGAGCTTGAATTTGCTCAGGCGCTTCAGCAACTGCCTGATTGAATCCGGGGTAGTCACGCTCGGATCTCCTCGAGTCTGTCGCGGGAGTCATTCCTCTGACGTTCCGAGTCCCGAAAGCTCATAATCAGTATATCTGATCCTAAGAGCCCTGAAAAATGCTTATGAAGTGGCTTGAGAGCTCGGAAATATTTTCCTTCCCCAGAACGCGGCAAATTAGCTCGAAAAGGGTCTGCTCCGGAGGGGCTGGAGCTCGGGTCATTCCCAGTTAGAGTATGAATCAGACAAGTTCACGTGAGAACATTACTCAGAGCTCATGTGAGCAGGCCCTTCTGGCAGAATGATCCAGTCATCCGCAGCGAGCAAAGCGCAGCAGAGTGAGTTTCAGCGAACGCGGGAGAGCAGACAAATCTTTCGAGAGCTGTGAAACCGCCGCGATCAATCCTCATGAAAGCTGGTGAGTGTTTCGCGCGTTCGCGACCATCCCGATGATATGAATTACATCGACTACTCAGCGTCTTCCTGACCTTTTTCACTCCCCGCAGCTATTCTTATCTTCGTCCTCCTGCTGGGAGCTGTAGCAGCGCAGGAGAACGACACGTCTATCGAGGATGATCCTTGGGACTCGTTCTTCGAGAATTTCTGGGAGAATTTCATGCTCATGCTGAAACAATTCTTGAACGACTTCGTCAAGTTTGCTTTCCCTGAGGACGATTCTGATACGACCACTGTTGGAGACGAAGCTATGACGAGCCGGTCGGTTGACTAGTACTAACATCGAGGAATCACAATGAGGAGCAAGGCCCTGCGGAACACCCGAGATAATGTGCTTCACTCGTTCAGCGAAATCGTATTTCGGTCATCGAGTGTCATGTGCTCGACTAATGAGCTCTACGTGGATGTTCTTGCCCGGTCGACTTGGAATCCTGTATTTTCTTAGGGATGAATATTAGCTTAACTTCTCTTGTTAACCGCGTCGGCTCACAATAAAAAATATTACTCACGTACCAATCGAACAGAACCTCAACGGAAGCGGTGCCAGCCCTTGTGATCTATACTCGTAATAGTTTCTCGATGCGTGATCGCTTTGGAGATAATATCCGCGCGCCGATTCGATCAGCTCAAGGAACTCCCTGAATCCGACGGTCCGGGTTTTCCAATGCAAAAAGCTGCTGAGGGAGCCTCGGCACTCGAGAGAGAGTGATCGGGTGCTCGCAGTAGAGCCAATTCATCGCAAGCACGAAAAAAGCTGTCCGAGACAAGGTTGGCCATTCGCGAGATCATGATAGATAGCCTCCAGATAGAGAGTTGTTGCGTTTAGATGAAGCCCATCAGAGAGCCACCTGTTCTGGAAAACTTTTGCGAAAAGATTGTTACCCTCTACCGTTGCTATATATACTTCTTGCTCTGCGTCTAAGTGTTAGACTGACTACGGAACATTCATCGCTCTAGATTGTGAGGACGATAGGGCCGTGGGGGTAGCCCGATAGGATTGAGACCTGTTAATACTGATCCGAGTGCTCCAAGGCAATTCTCCTCCACCCAGCGCAAAATATCATACGTATTTCCGATGATATCGTACAGCTTCGAAGACTAGAGGACTTCCGAAAAATGAATTCACGGATGAACCCTTGAATCACCAACGCGACATCGCTGGTGAGCTAGAGGTAGAGAGGCATACACTAATGGGGAATAATATGGCTGTACCTTATGCCCTGATCTCAGAATTATATCCTCCCTAATCACTGGAATGTACATGTGTTCCTCATTTTTGGTTCCGTCGAGTAGCGGACTGTGGCTTCATACCACGAGGAAGACCATGGAATCACTGGGGGAAATATGCTCATCACCGTTCCGAGATCGATTTTATTCTCTTCATTCAGGCTATTTATTCAATTGTCATTTTTTATTCTGTATAATTTTGTCCCTGCATTGCCATTGCAACTTCGCGCATTCTCATCGTTCACCACATCACTGAAGCTCACGACTTAGAGCTGAGCTATTTGAATCGCGACCAGAGTCCTCGAGGTGATGCGGGCGGGGCCATGACTCCTGTGATGCTCGCCTTTGAATCCATCTTCAACAAGTTCCGACGATACCGGAAGTTCTGACCCAGGTCGGGGGAGACCTGGGCTGAGAGAACATCATTAATTGCGAGGCCGCGATCCCACTCGGAAAATACGAGTATCAGGACTGCAAGGAGAGTACAGTTCTCCAGTTGGCACTCGGACAGTGTATAAGTGATTTCGAGGGATCACTGGAGATTTCACGGAAATATTGCGGGGAAACACTCGGGAACTTACCGACTAGGCGTCTCATCCTGAGCTTGACTTTCCGGAGAACTGCAACAAGATCGAATTCCAATCAACGGTGAAGGCCGAGGGAAAACTCCAATGGCCTCGCTCTCTTTTCAATTGGGCGTTTCAGCGATTCCTCCGTGGAGAAGCGACTCGAATTCAGACACAAACTCGAGCGGATAGTGACACTGACCCACCGCTCCGACAATTGGCGCTCCGTAGCGGCTGATCAGGGCAGGATGGTAGTCCGCGCGATTTATGAGAGTCATTCATAATGCATTGTTTCGTTCAACCGAGGCACAAACGAATATGAATCCGACTGTTTCAATGCATACCTCACGGACTTCAACACTGTGTGGCGTTTCTGACACTTTCAACGGATTTGGACAGCGATCATGCGGCGATGTTTCAGCAAACTATGGCTGGACTAAGGAAACCCGTTCGCAAAAAGGGGGAGAATCCTGTCATTGAAGAGGGATAGCGCGACACATGTGCCGAGTGACTCACAATGCCTTGCGACTAGAATTTCACCCACCGAATGACTTCTGGAGCCGACCCCAGACCGCATTTTCTGCTAATATCACGCCGACCACAGGAGCGACTCCATATCATAGTAAAGCCTAACATCAACATTCGCTCTCGCACTCGGCACAGGAGACGATTCCTACCGGAGGAATTCGGATAATATTCTGGTCCCTCAACCCTCCGGAAGAGTGCTTTCGGGCGGTTCGATCATTTTCACGCCGACTTGCGTGCGGGATGCTGTCTCGAGTTCTTCGCTTGGGTACAAAGTAAAAAGAGCGAAAACAGCCGCCTGAACTAGGTTTCCCGACGACTTTGGATGCCGATTGAGATCCGTGAATCACACTACAGAGCTTTATTTGTAAATCCAAACCAGAGCCGCTGGTCTCTAGGTCAGTCTTTGTAATTCGCTAGAATCATCGCTGCTAGTGCACAGCAACTCAGCAAGGGCATCCGATACACGTGATATTGTATTCATGCGCTTCGCTTAGATCGGGTTCATACCATAGAATTCGGAGAGAAAAAATATGATGCTGCGTCTGAGGGCTCGGCATCGATGATAACATCAATCTAGTTAGGAGGACCGTGGGATGTTATGCAATCGAGGATAGAACGAGCCTGGAGATTCTTTGCTCCAATCACTTTTGAAACTTGCTCGTCATCGTTATTATGCCTGAACCTGTCCATGCCGGTTGTTCGTAAGCCCTGAGTTTTTTTTGCATTCGATTTATTGCTTGCGTACTCCACTCAGCGAGGGAGTTGTGACACTCTGTGATCGAGAAACGGACAACAATGAGCGTTATCTATCGAGTTATCCATGTCAGTATGGCTTCCGACGGGATCTTATTTACCCTTCAGCCTACTTTTCCGGATTCTCGGGGAGCCACGGGAAGGGAGGGTCATCTCGAACGAGAGCTATGTTCAGTCGGCGATCCGCCGCTATCCCACCGCTGCGTATTTAGGCCCGAAGCAGGTTCGATGCTCGGTCCCCGTGCAGTATTCTGGAAACCTTGCCCTGTTTCACTTCCCACATTTGGAAACGGCGAGAACACTCTCTCAGATTTTCTCCGTATTTCCACCTTAGCCGGCATCCATTGCAGAGATGAGCGATTCGCTCTGAGCATCCGGATCAGCCCGCGGAGTTTATGTTTTTTCTGAGTTCACAAAAATTCGGAGTTTTCTCCTGACCTACGGTATGTGAAGCGAATAATATCTCCGGTTAGGGGGCTTTGACCCAGAGGGGTTTCGATCACGTGAGATGTCATATAAAGAATCACAGTGCATTGCATGATTGAATCGATCTCTCTCTAATGATTCGCGTGCTCTCGATGGCCCCGAGGCTCCCCTGACAGCTGGCCCGGGGAGAACTGGGAGGATACGTTCCGAAGCATTCTCAGCGCTACAATCATCGAATCGGATAAGATTGACGCGACTTACCTCGCGCGACCAAATCCTCGAATTCACTGGTCAATTGGCGGGTGCCACGACCGCTTCGGGTTCGATCTGATTTTTGATCAGCAACTCCATGCTAAAATCTGCAAGTTCCAAGGGTAGGTAGTCGAGTAAGTTGTGGAAGAGCACCTGCCGCCAGCTGCCAGCTCTGTAAAGGGTTTCGGGCCATACGGTGGTAATTGCTCGCACAAGTTCTGAGACTGCCTGGAAAGGGAAAGTGCATTCGACGATTCCGAGCTTTTGTTCTGCCCGAACCCGACCTTCTCAACAGCCACGAATCGAGAACGAGATATTCCTTCCACGGAGCCTTACATCATTTATGGCAATAGAATGTAATAACCTCTTCGCAGCGTGGATTAGCATTGTCCGTAACGAATCGGTTCATCGCGTTCCAAAAGCCGATGAAATAATCATGACCATAATCCCCGCGTAGCTGTTCAGGGAGTTCAAGTAGGTCCTCTCTCATGAAAGAAGTCTTCCTCTCTGCGATGCGTGACAAGCCAGTACTGCAACGATGATAACTCGATAGTCATTGGATTCTCTTTCGCCAGAGGCGAAGCTTGTTTTCACTCGACTTCCATTGTTTCACTTTCGTTTTTCTGTATACGCGGAAAGCCAAAACCGCGAAAAGGACGAGACTAACTCGTAGAGAGAAGGCTGGACGACCGAAACGTCAATGTCCCACTGTGCTAACTCCCTTTTCAATCCTCGGCCCAAACTCGACACAGCGGCTTGACTCACGGAATAGCCCACTAGCCCGGGGAAGGGCGCATCTCCTGCGGAGGAAACACGATGAAAAATCCTTCTGGGAACCCAATGCATCTGGCAGGATTGTCATTCCAGCATTTTTACTGGACATGAACGTAATTCCGGACCCCTCTCTGCACTACCCCGCTTATAAGTCATGCGATGAAGCTTCTCATGATCTGCAGTAGCTCCCCCGTCAGCGACGATTAAAAGTTCACGGGCAGATGGAAGAATCGCGACTCACCGAAAGCACTGGAGGATATAACCACTCGCCCTCTGCTCTTCCTCAAGAGTCGCAGGAAGGTTTTCACCATTCGCACCGATCCCATCACGTTAACATTCAACATCCGTTGCATTTTGTCCACAGGAAGCCACTCCATTTCTCCGATTTCCATCAGGTTTTCGAGGGCGACAACAGCCCAGAGATCTGCCAATGTGGAGTCCCGAGTCGTATTTCGTATTTCGACCATGGGAGATTCCGCCTCCGGACGCATCTTATGGTGAGCTAACCGTTCTCAGATTCCTCGAGCTTCATCTCAACGAGTCGGAAAGTATCGTCGAGACTGTTCTGATTCGTGACATCTAGGCTTAAAACATCGACCCTCGAAATCGACTGCAGCTTCATTGCTTGTGGAGACTCAGGATCGGAACAACCCGCGAGGACCTGGAATTAGTGCCTCAGATTTCTCGAGTTTTGCTCCAACTGTCCATAATATAGCTCTTGGCCCGATCAGGAAACTTTCAAGAAGTGAGCTCACTCGGAATCCTCTGTGGGCTAATCTGCGGGCCAAGATGTTTCCGAGGTCACTGTCGCATCCTGCGGAAAGTCGAAAGTGAAACTCTTCAATTTTATACAACAGGAATCCACTGGGAAGTAGCGATCACTCATTTTCATCAATGCTCAGCCGAATTCTCCTCGGCCTTCTCTTATCAATGCACCGGAAGCCCCACACGCCGACGCTTAGTTTCCCCCGTGACCGGCTTGGCAACGCTCTCCGGCCATACCGAAGCGTACCTCCCACACTCTCAGGATATCCTCCGAGTCCCCGAGCTCCGAGCAAGGAGTAGACTGAGCAAAATACACTCTTCTTGAAGCGTCCGAGAAACAGCGGATTCTATTTTATGGAGAAATTCCCTCCGATCCCAATAGAGCATCTCACCTGATATCAGAACAGCTTTTTTGTAGCTAGCGATGGTGGAAGCAAGAGGGTGCCTCTTGAGCCATCGATAGGTGACGAAACCGAACCAGCAGGAGAACGCAAGCACGAATGCGTACGATGAGACGTCCCAAATCGGGAGCCAATTTCGGGACAAGTGGATGAGTTTGAAAATTACGAAGGATAGGAGGAGCATATGATTCAGGTTCAGCCAGCCGGAGCTGATGCCGGAGGGACGGTACCACGAATCCAGAACCATTATTCCACAATTGACGAATGTCAGCGTCGGATATCCTTCTCGGTCACCGCGCTCCTGTAAGTCGATGGTTCCACTCCGCAAGGCAAAAACGTCAGGGGGATTACCGCGAGGTGAGGGGTCGGTGGATTAAAAGATGAGCTCAGGTCCGAGATTTGCGGATAATTCACAGCTTGCTGGATTAATCGCCCTTGTTTTGCTGTGGCAGCGGAAGATAAGACCCGGATGGAACTGGTGATCTGAAGTTCCAGTATTCCCGCCGCGGCTACTTCCGCGGAGCTCGAAATTCAATTGGAGCTGCTGCTGCTGCTGCGGAAGCTCCGACATCTATAATCGGCGATTTTTGGAGAGACGTCCTCAAGCTCCACCGGCAGCACCAACGTACTCAATATGGGTTCCAGAAAGTAAACTCCCGTTCGTTGAGTTTGCAAACGTACGCATGTTCAGAAAAACGAAAACTTCTCGATGAGGATGAAAGAGTCGCGACACAGAGTGATATAATCGAGGTGGGGAGATAACCGACACTTCCCATTAAGCCCTCCCATTCCGGAAGCTTGGCGCTGGTAGCTCGACTGCAATCACGAGTCTCCTCTTATTCTCATCTTTTGCCACGAAGTCTACGGTCTACGGAAGAGCCGCAAGAATCCCCTCGCTATCCTCGGGCACGTTCCGAAGTTTTGCTCGATCACCTCCCCTCTTGATGGAATTCTGCGGGCTCACACCTGTTCCCGGAAACGTCTGGGTGAACTAGTCCAATGATTCCCAGAGATCAATGGCGTCACAAACATATCTATGTATGCACGTGTTTGCACATATACACATGTATACATGGCATGCAACGGCTACGAGCAGCCAGTATCCGCCGTGGCGATCCGTCGACGTGTGGCCCGTATGGCCGGGATGACATTTCCCTCCCGTCATAAGCAGAATCAAGGTATTCCTCATCTCAGAAGGCAGTCAAGACTTCGCGTTCCGAACGGAGAGCTCTTACGTGTACTCAAGACTCTGTGGCTTTTAGTCAGTGATCTTTGGGAGTCTCTCCGCTGGGTTTGCCTATGGTTATTGACGAACGTGACAGAAGCTCGTTGATTCACGATGGGGGCGTTTCCTCCCCTTCCCTTTCAAACTCGTTCGTTGAATCGCGCTCTTCTCGTGAAACGGCACCATTCGTTTTCTGATCGGGAGTCCGCGGGCACCACCGATAAGAATGGCCTGCTCTTTCTCGAAGTACACATCTGACTGCAGATTCACACCGGGAAGCTGGCTCCCACCTGTAGGCCAACAGGAGTTCGCCGATGGCTCATCACTCATCATCAGGAAGTAGTGCTGCGTCGAGCCTACCAAGCGACCTTATAGAGGCTAAGGGAGGTAAGGCTCAAGCGGGATGGAGTTTTTGGCTTCAAACATCATTGATTCTAATGTCTATGTATTCCATAGGCAGTATTATTGTATTATTCAAGTTTTATGAGCACTTATTCCCAACCACAATACAGTCCCACAGCGTATCACCACAGCTACGAATTCCGCAGGTACTCTAGAAATGAGACACTCGTCAATCATATCATTATGAGCGCAGTCAGTAGGGAGGCGCCGGACTCTTACTCTTGAAACGATAATCCACTATTGTCAGCGACGGTTTCTGAACCTCGCTGTAGAAGACGTCAGTCGGCTCGCTGAGGTCCCCCTCCGATATTGACTCGTCCGTCAAAGCCGAGCGTCCCATCATTTCCCGCAAGGCTTCCGAAAGATACGTGAATAGAGCCTCGTTTGTGACTGTCTGACTCTGCATTCGAACAAATGAGTAACCGGACGTGTCAATCTCATGATGTTTCTGAGGTATATGTATATACGCAGAACTCTACCCGAGCTACGTTGACGTCTACGATTCTTTTGCGACGCCTAGCTTTTATAACCAGAACTTCCCTCTTGGGGGACCATCTGCCGTTGCTCCTCCGATCCAACATGGTATTCAGGAGCGCGAAACTCTCCAGCGGCTCCTTGCCTTTCTCGATTCTCGTCCAATCGATAGTTTTGAAGAAAGGGTGCTCCTGGAATTCACTGAAGCGCGCAACAGTGATCCGTTCTGAAATTGGCGAACATCCTCGAATTCAGGAGTTTTGTCGTATATTCGAAGAATACCGACAAAGACCTGAGCTTCCCCGGACACAGCCATCAGGTGTCATTTGGGGGCAGAATCTCACTGTAAACGTCTTTACACATCAAACGCCGGGAAAGAGAATTCAAATCAGCATCACCGGAGACGCGATCCCCATCCAGATCCGATTCGACGATTAGGTCTCGCAGAATGCCATCGTCGCTGCACCTGAAGGGCGGGCGACCCGATGCTAGGTAGTGTAATGTCACCCCGACAGACCACCTGTAAACTTCAGTTGAGACGACCAGCCAAATTCGAGGAGCCAGCGGATACCGCCGGAACCGACTCGAATCAAAATAGAATACGAGAATTCCTGTATTGATTTACCAATCGCTAGCTCTACCGTAGCAAGCGCGCTTAATGATTTCCGGTGCAAGATACATGAGTGTCCCGGCCGACTCACAATCACAGAACTCCGTAAACGTTTTCCTTATGTAACTTTTCAGTGGTCCTCTCTCGTATTTTCCAGTGCATATCTTCGCGGTATCGTAGTCTATGAGTTTTATTCTACAACCTTGCATTATCATGATATTCGACGGCTGCGGGAAACGTAATCGCATTTTCAGAAGGATCATCGATCGTACTCGAAGTCTCTACATGGGAGATAGGAAATTACCATTGAATTTGACTGAGATTTGGATTTTAACGAGGCAGAAACCTTTATGTCTCGATGAATGAAACCTTTCAACTGAAGATAGCGCAAAGCATGGCCGAGCTGGGCGAGGACCACGCGGCACACATTGACCGGCAGTGCCGATTGACTCTTGACGCACTTTTGCAGATCGATCCCTCTAATGTACTCTTGCATCGACAAGTAGTAGTCTTCGACGGCAATGCACGCGTAATAACGACACAGATATCTCGACTGTGTCATGCTCGCGAAAACCTGCGGTTCGTATCTTCTTTATGGCCTCGTCCTAGTTTCCACAACAGCCCCTTCCACCGGATGCTGTGTTACTTCAATGAATAGGTTTTCCGAGAATAGTACACATCGGCACGCGATTGCCAGGCGCTCGCGCGATGGAATTTCCGGGAGTTGAATTTGAGTGGACTTAAACGATACAAGAACTCGCCTTGTCCCCTGCCGCTTGTTTGAGTCTAGATATTCGTTGGCGGGAAACAATCTTGAACGCCATCGGTAGTTTTCCCCCGAAGAGAACTTTAGTGCATGATCCGAAGCCACCAGCGCCGATGACGAATTGTGTTTCAATTTTTTCGAGAAATTCCTCAGCCCAGGAGATACTCTCTGAATTGTTGGTCACAGAACTGGAGTCACTATCGTCAAAGCAATCCAAAACGGCAATCCAATTAGTCTGCTGCACGTTCGTCCTCTCTTCCAGTTGAGCCGCCAGATCAGCGACTATATGGATGAGCCTCCGGATCTGGCTGCGTAGCAACTAAGGAATTAGATCATTAGTAATTAGCGGCTGAACGCTGATCCTCGCTTCAATGGATAGGTAGCCATTACAGATCGAAAAATTTCAAAGTGTCTGGAGGACAATCAAAATAATTATTCGTATTCCCATCGCCCAAGAATCGAATGGGTCGCGATTCTTATATATGTATATTTACGATATGCATCAATTACTATCTGCGCCGCTTTCTCCAATGCGCTGACGTGGTCGTACAATGAGGTGAGGTTCGCTATATCTTCTCTTATATCAAAGAATGTCAAGCGTCTCTTGACTAAGCGGCGCTTGATTTCGAGTGCCGTCAGGATCGACTGCTCCATCACGAACCATTGCCTCGGAGTCCAATGATATTCTGGGGAGTCATGCCCCCGTACATAATCCGCGAGGAGGAGATTCGCTCCTTGTAAAAGCCTGAGGATTCACGATCGAAACAATCAGTTCCGGTGCATGTATTTTCAGAGCAATTCGAATAACGTGTACTCGAGGGTCAACTCATCCGAATCTGCCTCCGCATTTGATTCTTCTGAATGGGATCTCCGTCGAGGGAGATCCCGCGCAAAATTCACCTCGGATGCGATAAAGCGAGCCCTCGAATGGCGTCTTTCATCGCTTGTTTCAACATCAAAACCTTCCCTCGTAGCTCTGGAGGCCCAGGTTTCACACGAGCATCCATTCCTGCCGTTCAGATCTCGATAACCTCACTTAGCACGCGAGAATAGGAGATCGCCGACGCTCTCCGAGTGCGACCAGTTCACCCTCATTCGAAGGAGTATCTAACATTTTCTCGGGGGCTTCGTTATCGATCACTCATCAGGGCTCGGATTTGGCTTGACGAAGTCCCTCCATGCAATGGGGGACTTATGTGCGCATCCACGTGGTGCGATGCCTTCAAAAGGGCCGCGAAGGACTCCTCAGCGGGGATCTCGTTCATCGCTTGTTAGGGGTGACCGAAGATGGTACATCGGCTCAATGTACGAACAGGACCCCTGATGGCCTCCGTAAGCAGAATTACGTATCTTGCTGGCGCTTTGTTTCCATCCATTTCGTCCCTGCGGAACCCTCGGAACGTGGTCTCCATCTCACGCTCTCGACACACATTCTTCGCACATGACTCATAACTCATAATGATCGGTACCATCGAGCTGGGAGATCCTCCCCTAGGTGATGGTGGATACAACCGTGCCACCTTGACCTGTGCCGTTTTAAATAATGGAAATCTTCGTCACGGAGGATTGGTATTAACGAATCGTAAAAGGTCATGCTTTACATCTGCGGAGGATGAGACTATTGTTGCCAGCATGACCTCATCTTCCGAGCAACAACCAGGGAATACGAATCATGCAGGGATGAATGAGCTCTGCGATTCGTAAAAGCATGGATCCCAGAAAGAAATTACCTCTTCGACGTTCGCTGAAAATCGCCTCCATCGAAAGTAGATTAGCTCGGACACGGCTGGAAGTTCCAGCCTGGAACCTTCTCTTTATGGAGTCGCTACAGCGAGAGGGCAAAAAAACACATCATGAGCGAATCACTCACGTGCTCGATCTGAATCTTCCTTCCTGGATACACCAGCTGGCGTTCGGCAGATCCGGCGGCAACGTCAGGGAATCGACTTCTGGGGAACAAGACTGGAATGGAAGTTTCTTCGGTCGTATCATACCTTGGCCGTACAAGTACGTTTCCGATGCCATCGCCGATAGGGAACTCTCGAAATTCGAAGAGCTCGAGCTTCCTCAATATTGCCGGACCCTCGGGCGAATCAACACGGTATCGGACCACTGGCGCTGTGGAAAGTTCTGAAGTCGTCGAACGCTTTATAGACTCAATGGGCTCTTTCGCAACGCGACGTCGGGTGCTATTTCAAAACACACCGACATTTGTCGAATGACAAGCGGAACATTGGCGATGGTGGTTCTTGGGGAAAAACGAGCGGTCGCTCCATTCGTATCGAGACCATCCCTTTCAGTACGATGGCGATCCTATTCGAATACGTAATGAATCGCCCATTCTCATTATACGTAAAGCGTGCCTCGACAGAATCTACTCGGAGGAGCCGTGGGCATCCCAAGGGCTGTTTCGGCACCTTCTGTCATGCGAGATATCCACAGGAATTACTCTCGGCACGAGCATGACTCATGAAAGCGTGAGAAATATTCTGAGGGCCGCTCGTTCATGTCAGACATTGGATTCTCCCCGGGTTCATTCGCCTGTTCGATTATTCGGTTTTTCTGAAAAAGGAAATTCATGCCGCGAGAGGCGTGCCAACTCGATGATGTGAATAAATCCGTTAAACCGAAAAGGGAAAAACCCTGTCGAACACAACTGTCGGAGACGTCAATAGCGTTCTCCAGAGGGACGAAAATCTTCAAAGGATCAGAAAATGTCGTTCAAATACACCCAAAGATTGGAGCAGAATGACACAGCACATACAGGAATCCTTTATGGAGTCACTCTGCGGGCACTAGAGGATGACCTCTCCCTGGACTATCCGATTTTATTGACAAGCTAACCCATTCATCACATGTTTCACATAACAGTGAATTTGAGAGACGACTCCGGCACGCCGAGATTGATTCGAGTCTCACGCCCTTTCTCATCGTCTCCATTGGAGCCTTGACTCCGAATGATGGACTACGGTATCGAATGTTCCGAGTCTCGCGGGATGATCCTCATCTCGTTGATCTCGCGCCGACCCACAGAGCTCGCTCAACACTGCTGGACGATGAACGAAACACAGCATTTGTTGTTCGTCGAGAGCCTATGGACGTCGGCGTCGTCAATCCGTCCAGGAGACAATATTCGGAGGAAAACAGGATGGTGATCCACTCAAGGACACTATGGACTTGAATTTCCATGGAAAGCTTCTTCGCACGCATCGTTACTGAAGCAGGTTACGTCGAGATTACGTGCTATTCGACCGAAGTTATTCGCGCGTGTCATGATGCAGCGATAACGTTTCGTCCAGCATTACTACGACTAAACGGCGCTCTTTTCTTCGAGTGTTTTACCGTTCCAGTCCTCAGAAATGCCGGTCAGCCGACCACAGCACTGATCGAGAATCGCTCATTCCAGATGCCGGCGAATCCCGACGCCGAACGTGGTCGATGGGGGCTTGTTAGAATCCGACAGGAGATAAGACTCCAAATTCAAGACGATCTGGTCTGGATCAACGTTTTCTGCCACAGAATTCCCCGCCACGCTCTGCGCTCCTGATAAGCGAAAGCCGATGCCGGCGCTGACTCAGGCGCTGATCTCGTTGCGGCTTATCTTGCGAGTCTTCGGCAGCGCGGACTGTCGTCGCTCATATCGAGTGTGAGATTCGGATGGATCTCGTTTTGGCATTGAAGAGGCGACGTTTACACCGACAATCTGAGCGGAACGCTTCATACATCTTCGCACGAGAATATTCCCGTCCCGACATTCTCAATCCCGGAACCCGTTTCATTGTTTCGGAAGAGATCCGACCGAGCCTCTCGAAGTCGAGGCAGTCCCGTAGGTGCCCGTGCTCTTAAGAGAACAACGAGAGCTTTTGAAGAGCTCGGAAAAAAAAACTTTCCGGAGCTCTTGGCGAATGGCTGGAGAACACATGCAGTACACGTAGAAATTGCACGCCGTGTTCACGTGAAGAAGCAACAACGCTCCCAGACGGAACGTTTCGTACCAGAGCGACGATGCCCCGTTCGGTGGGGCGAATATGTCCTTAATGCAGGTCGGCGTGTAGCAGAGCACGAAGATTGTCGTGATCGACATGATGATGAGTTTGATGCGATCTTCAGCCTGTTCTTGAGCTCCAGGTTGTTGGTTCAAGGTCGAGCTCCTGTTGTGCTGGTGCCGTCTCAGACTTATGACGGTGCACGTGTTGAGAAAGGCGACAATGATCGTCGGTAAGGTCCTCGTGAGGGTTCCTCGTATCTTATAATAAACGTACAGGAAGCCATCGACCTTCACGTATTTACAAACGTAGCATATCGGGGTGAAGTCACTTTCGGTCTGTAGACCCACGGTCTGGGTCATCAGAATGTACCTGGACGGGTAGAAGGTTATGAACCCCAGAATGAGACAGATAGCGGAAACGAGTGTGGGGTTGAAGCCCTCGCTATTTGTTCGGCTCTGCATTGGGAAACAGACGGCGTAGAAACGTTCTACGGTGATCACCAGTACAATGTAGCTGCTTGTTGCAACCAGCCACCCCGAGGTGGCGGGTGTTACATTGCAGAACAGGTAAGCCCAGTCGTGGACCACCGGTGCCTTAAGCACCCTCCATGGGACGAGGAAATCCAAGAACATGGTGAGCAGGTCAGAAACTGCTAGCCAGTACAGATAAACGTAAGTTCGATGCTTGAAGCGACGTAGCACCAACAGGTTAATGAAATTACCGATCGAGCCGATCACAGCGACGACGGGGAACAAGATCGCGTATATCAGCCATCGGACGAACTCTATGTCCTCCGGTATCTTGTCCACGATAACGAAGAATTTGGCGCATGTAATATTCACGTCACCCTTATTCCAAAGATGGAGCGTTCTGTTGTACCACTCGGTGGATTTTGGAGACAGGGGCGGGTACACTTTCGGCAAACTTTCGGTCAAGTTTATGAGGAGGGTGGAACTGTTATCCGCGTATGTCACATCTTCCAATGGGAGATACACTTCAGTGTGGTTGATGAGATCCAAAGAAATGTTCAAGATTTGTAGAGATGCGATTACCATCCCAGACACGTTTGAGGATGGAGACAATGTTTGGTTCATGTCGAGTAGGATTGAATCACCTATAGTGAGAATGACCCTTCCAGCTCAACTGGTGTCTAGCCACATCACAGGACGCTGGAGACAAACGACCGGTACAATGTGAGCTGACTGAGACCGGCTATCGAAGACCAGCGCGAATGGTTCGAGGCTCCGATCGTCTTCGCGCGCTTGCCAACTGGTTCCGGAGCATTAGCTTAGGAAAGAGGAGCCTGGAAAGAAGGAACGTCAAGAATCAGAACGAAGAGCCTCTCTGTTGTTTCCGCGAGCTCGGCTCTCGCCTCCGAATACAGGGGAATTTTTCGGCATCCGCGGAAAAAAGATGAAATGATCCATGGGCCGTTCGGCCTGAGATCTTGCGGGTCAGCTCGGCATTCTCCTCATGAGACCTCGCATAGATACACAGAGTGATTCCTGTCATCGAGGCGTAGAGTTCGCATTCTCTCCACTGACGTCAACGTCCGACCATGCGGAAATTCCGATACCGAGCCGCCGATGTCTCCTTCCATCTCTCGTCGGATGGATCGTATCTTCGTCATTTTCAGGCCCTGCGTGCGCGGTTCTCGAATTCGACAAAGACCGGCCATCAGTCACGGTCTCTCGTCTGGTGCTACTTGAGTACCCAAAGTCAAACGTGCGAATGACGCTATTTTCCGAATATCTTGAGCGGCTCCTCATTCGGAGGGAAGCTTCCGAACCCAGGGTTTTTCCCGGGAGTTTCTGACAATCATGGAGGCGGATCCGACCGAAAACAATATCGCCGACGTCGATGGTCTGTGGCTCCGGCAAACGATTCTCTGCGTGATCATCGAATAGGCAAATGATTTCCTGTTCCATAGAAGACTCAATTGATGGAATCGCCGCGCGAGTTTTCATTCAGTTTTCGAAACATGCCGTTCACTAGCTGCATTTCCTTCCCTACTGCCTACCAAGACGTCTCTGGTAAGATTCCTCTCTCTCGGGGTCCTGCCGCCTGTTCACGAGGGTTCTGCGGGAAAAATCCGAGTCCTACTCCGAAAGAACCGCGTCAGAGTTCCCGCGCGATTCCGAGGTTCCCTCGACAAACTTCTGAGAGATCGATTGTTGTGCTTCGCCGCCGTGATTCCAGCCCTATTCAGTTGAATGCCATTTAGTCTCTAGTCCTCCATTCAGGCGTAAGAATGAGGATGTTTGTTTGGCTGGAAAGGAGAGCTCATTTCCTCAAAAAACTCTCGCGTGTGAGAGGCGTGCGACGGAGTCGCAGTAGGTTTGCACAATTGTCGATCAATTCTAGGGATCGGAAACTTCGCAGGCTCGGGTGAAACTGAGAAACCTCAGCCGACGACACGGATCCACTGTCTTGCAGTCGGGATAGAACTCTGGCTCGAGGATCCTCAGAATCCGAAATCATCAGGAGTACGCTCGGGGAGTACGAAATCATCAGGAGTACGCATCTCTTTTGAGGGGAATCTGACGCGACTTTGATTAGGCCCGCATCGAGTCAGGGACCACAGCTCGTCTCGTCATAAGATTGCTCAACGCGGATACGATACTTGCCGTCACATTTCCACTGCTGTCCATAACGAGCATTCTTCATGGCACCGGACAGATTTCAGATTTCTCCCTCCGTGCCTCAGCAACGACCATGATGATGCTACCGTTTGGAACGATCACTCTCTTCCAACAGCATGTGTCTCTTCGCGCATTCGCGCTTCGGATATCACCTCCGCGGAGCAGGATTGCACGCAGCTGGCGGTTAGGTACGAGCTGTTTTCGGCTGAACACATTGCGATTTCTGGGTGAGTCCGACGTGGAAAACCCGTCACTGAAGAGAAGTTCATCCATTGTCAGATGTCATTCACCGTCTATTACATCGATCGAGACTGCCCTCCACAGAGTTTCTGTCACCATTGAGCTTCAAGTGATAAAGCTTTCACTGGCTCAGAGGGGAGACTTTCGCGGATATCGGAAGGTGGAGCCCGATCACGATCGGAGGTGGGACATGATGGGAGCGGTCAAGTTATCTCAACTGTCTGCGACAGAATCATTCCCCTGGGCTGTGACCTATGACGTCTCAGAGGCAATTCATCTGCGTGACTTCTGAGGCCGGTCCGCGGTGAACTTTCTCCTGCTCTATCAGTGACGGAATTTTCCTCACATCAAAGTAGTTGAATTCCCCCTCCGAGGCGAGGAGACTTCAATGGGTCGAATTCCGTCTCCGCATCGAACGATCATTGTATCTTCCGGAAATTTCTTCCCCGGTTATATTCTCTCAAAGCGCTGGATCGAGGTGGCCCTCTCCGAACATTGGCGACTGTCACGCGGTGGATAGGCCTCTGAGGTTTGCCAATCCGGCAGATTCCTAGCGTCCGATGGGAGCCGCCACGCTACGATGTGCAACGTGGCAGTCGCCGTCATAACACGCTGCTCTCCATCTCTAAGCGAACCGGCGCGGCAGTCGGCTCGGCCGCAGTCCGCCAGACGACAGCCTGTTGCCGCACCGCCCGTGACACAAGCCGCGCCGCCGGAGCTTCAGCTTAGCTCCTATCAATATCCTCTCGCACGCTCTAGCATGGAACACGTCCATCGGAAAATTCCGCCCGGCGTCGAGCTTTGACGATGCGCCACAGGGGTCGCTTCGCGCGCCCCTTCCGAATCTGTCTATAGATGCAGATCACGGCTCTCCGCGCTCCCTCAGAAGACCCGAATTCAGTGACCTCCAAAAAGGTGCGCGATCACCGCGTGGTTCCCAGCTCACAAGTTCGAATCTCAGCTGAGGTTGCGTCGTTGTCTCAACTCCCTTTCTGGAAGTCAACGCAGTTCCTGGAGGTCCGGCATGGCAGCGATCACGAGGCAGCTCGTCCAGGGCGCCATGGCGCTTCCTGCGCGAGGGTGCTGCCGCCTAAATTCGCCGCAGCCGCTGCTGCAACGAGCCGGTTACACGAACAGCACGCCGGTCTCATTCAGTCTTCGAGTTCTGCAACGAGCTGGTCTAGCAACCTCGGCTACGAAAACTTCGGCAAAAATGACGAACCCGAAAGTATTCATGGATATCAAGGCCGACGACCAGCCTCTCGGTCGCATCATTATGGAGGTAAGTTCTCGCATTGGAAACTAATTCACTACTAGGCGTGAGAAACCAGGGCGGTTCGAGCACGCCGGTCGCGCTGTCACGGAGTGCGCCATTGGAACACTCGACAAAACTCATTTCACTCGTGCGTGTCCGCGATAAGTCGTGTCTGATAAACACGTATGGCTATCGTATCGTGTCGGAGCATCGTGGATTGTGTCTCCAATCCTATGTCTTCAACGAGCCGCCGAGGAACGGCGTTGCCGGTGCTAGGCCTAAACATTGAACGGCTTCGAGAAGCATCCATCGGATGGCGCCCAGAGTCCCAATTACCGCGGACGACGGGCGTGACAAGGATCGCCCCGGCTTCTCCCGGGGGCTCCGGAACCTTTTCCAGCTCACTCCGGGGTATTCGAGGGGTTCTTCTCTCGGGAGATTCCTACACGGGACTCACTCCCTCGTGGGATGGGACCGTCCCCTATCGACTACATGGTCGAATGCGGTCTTCCCCTGACGAACTGGGCATAGTCACGCGCAAATGCTCTGTGATAATGCCGATCCATCGAGAGGGGATCGAAGTTGTTTGGCATATTCCTGTGTTGAGAGCCCTTATCGACGGCTTATGATCACGAGCGTTGTATCATCAACCCGATCGGTTTCACTCATACTTGAAGAGACTTGGTCTAGTCCAGACAGCGACAGGCGAGGCGGACGAGAATCTTACGCTCGATTTCCGTCTGGTTCTCATCTAGGGAGTTTTGCTCGGATCTGTTTAGTTCTCATGAACTGAGCTCTTGGCTTGGTTGATCTCTTTAACAGTGTGGCACTTCGCCGCGGAGCCGCAGGGCTCTTTCGCAGTGTTCGGTGGAGGCGCTGCTTTTGTCGAGAGACAGAGCTCATCGCTGGTCGGGCCTTGTGCGGTTCGCCCGCCGGGTTCATCGAGCGAATTTCGTATTGCGGAAGTAGAGAACAACAGATCCTTATCAGCCGATTGATTGATGTTGCCATTGGTTACAGCTCCGCGCCGACGTCGTCCCGAGAACCGCTGAGAACTTCCGCGCCCTGTGCACCGGAGAGAAGGGCAAGGGATACAAGGGATCCGTTTTCCACCGTATCATCCCGAACTTCATGTGCCAAGGAGGTGATTTCACCCGAGGGAACGGAACTGGAGGTGAATCAATCTATGGCGCCAAGTTCGAGGATGAGAACTTCAACCTGAAGCACACCGGGCCCGGAATCCTCTCGATGGCTAACGCCGGACCCCACACCAACGGGTCACAGTTCTTCCTGTGCACCGTCAAGACCGCCTGGTAAGACATTTCAATCAGCAAGTCGTGGCTCGTTCTTTCACCCGTCACGAGTGGGTGGGTGGCAGTCTCAACTGGTCACTTCCCTGAATATTGATGCACAAGAATCGTCTGGCAAACTTTCGTGATTGATCTGGAGAAACTTCTCTCAACATTCTCCCGCATCGACTAAGGCACACTTCCGCGTATGGGATCTGGGAGACTAAAGCACGAGAGACACGGGGGGTTTGACGATTGCTCCTTTTGCTTGCAGGTTGGACGGAAAGCACGTCGTTTTCGGCTCTGTCGTGGAAGGTATGGATGTCGTCAAGCAGATGGAGAGTTTCGGAACCCAATCTGGTGCCACGAAGAAACGTATCACCATCGCTGACTGTGGACAGTTGTAAATGATTTGAGAGGGGACGTTTAATAACTCTATGAATCTTCGCTCTGTTTGGCTCATGGTGTGACCGAATTATCCGAATCCTGAAAGAAATCCGTGAATTTGCATCGCTGTGAACGATGAGAAAAGACGCGAGAGCCTGGGAATAAATTACTCCTTTTTACACACCACCCGAATTCAATTTTCTTCCGCGGTGCTCGCTAGGCCGCCGTGCTCTCGCCACGCTTTCGGTCAGGCCGATAAGCCGGCAGAGTTTACCCGATTCTCAACGATACGCCATGCAGTCCCATGCGGAGCGCATCCTTGATCGACCAGGAGCGAATCACAATCTTCGGAGCTCTAAAGGAATAGAATGCCGTCGAGGCGTCCTGCCTAAGGGGGGCTTTCGGGAGTCACGAAAAGAAATCTCCGGCAAGACGATCGCTTGCTGTTCGCTAAGGGAGTCGACGTATGCCAGTGGGGAAAGGCAAAGGAATCGGAACCGGGACGCGTAGGGAGCACGAAGGCAAATCCAATCACTGCATACAGGGAAGCAGAAGTGCTGATACTGCAACGGGAGACGAGACTTGGCTTGAAGAGGTGCGCGCGCGCAAACCTCAGGTACTACCACAGAAAGGCTCAACGCACTCACTGTGGAGAAAGGGGAACTCGATTGGGTTTTTCCGATGGCGCGAGGAGCCCAGACTATAGCTCACTCAGTCAGTGTTCCACCAGCACCCGGCAACAACCGTGTAGGTCTGCTGTCTGCTCGAGCCGACTGTATTGACAAACATCGCTCCGTTCCTGCCACTGCCACTGTTGCCGGTCATCGAGCAACGTTTCTGATTGTATGAAACTTCATGACCGTCTCGTGAGTGTTCTGTCCTCCGTCATTGTCGTCTTCATTGCTTGTGCATTCGTGCTAATGGGAACCGAGAAGCAGGTTCGACCCTACATCCATACACCGATCGCCAGAGCCGTCTACGAGCGATTGATGAAAGAACGGGAGTTTGAGGAAATCGATCGGGACGAATGGTATCGCTTGAATTTGGATGCGATACTTAGCGAAGACGTACGGTCGAAATTCATTCAGATGAAATGGGATGTCGACACTCAAAAGTTCGTTGATCAGAGCTCAGAAAAAAGCTCCTGGATCGGAACTCAGCTGTGGCACGCTCTCGTGACTTTCGTGGCCGGATGGAAAGCCTCAAAAACTTCCCTGAACGGATGGCTGAACCGCGGATCGATGTTCGTCTTCTCCGAGAGCCAATTCCTGAGACTGACCGGATGGAAAGAAGACCACCGCAGCGACTCGCTATTGGATCTCGGGGCCGGAGACGGTAATGTCACCGCTCGCTTCAGCCGGTTTTTTGGGGAAGTCTTCGTAACGGAAGTTTCGTCCGTGATGCGCAAGGTGCTCGTGAGCCGGGGCTATCAGCTGAAAGATGTCGGCCAGTGGGACTCCGAAGACGATCCTCAGAAGTATTCGATGATTTCGGCTCTCAACCTGCTTGACAGGTGCGACGCGCCGATCTCTCTCTTGAAACAGATTCCCAAGAAACTAGCCAAGAACGGATTCGTTCTAATAGCACTGGTATTGCCTCTCAACCAGTATGTGGAAAATAATGCGCCAACATTTGCTCCTTCTGAAATTATCGGAGTGCGTGGCAGAACAACGGAGGAACAAGTCGATTCGCTCGTCGAATGCGTTTTAGAGCCTCTCGGATACAAGCTCAAATCGTGGACGCGGCTTCCTTACCTGTGTGAAGGCGATCTGCATCAACCGTATTATTGGATGCATGATATCGTCCTTCTGCTACAACACGAGAGCGCCATGATCGATGAGGCTTAGACATGATGTCTCGAAACTATGTGTCAAAATCCAAACTTATTGTGTTGTGCACTTTCCAATGAGCCGATTCAAATTTGTCGTGTACAGAATGATGATGATGATGTCAGTCGAAGGAGCGTCTCATGCATATTTCAAAGTGTATTTATTGTGCGAGAAAGCCAAAGAAAATTTAAGATGTACTTAATTCTGAGGCTGAATTCAAGAATAAAGTCCAGTTCATACCGGTATGATGCGCGTTTTCGATTGAGACGCTCACGGAGCTCCTCAACGCCATATTGCGACGCAGATATCCGATGGACGGCTAGAGGAGAATGATACCGAGAGCATATTTCGAACTTTGAGACGAAGTGAACTTGCATTCCAGTGATGCGATACTGGGCTGGTGGAATTCCTTTACATACGCTTCATCAATGGCTGCTCCGCCCTCCCTGGGAATGTATACGGTGCGATTTCAAGGATGCGGCATCTGCTTCATGATTCGGACCGTCAACATAGGTTCCGTTTCGATTGTTCAAGTCTTCGTCTGGAAATGATTCCATAATCTCACAGTAATTTGATCATGATCAACATCGAGTTCCAAGGAGTGATTTTAATCGGACCGACTACCTGCTCTCGTCCATCGCGCGAGTAAATAGAGTCCCATGGAAACCGAGATGGAAAAATCGCATCAAGGCTTTGCGGTCGACCACCAAGGTCCCCTCGTTTTAGCTTCCTCCAAATCGAGCGATTCACGCTGCTCGTGAACCATAGGTTCCCGTTTCTCTCACAGCGGTGGCGAATGTTTCCAGGGTAGACGTGGCCGCTGAGGATTCGCGTTGTAACCGACAGAGGAAGGCTGCCGAGGCCGAACAAAGGGAGCCTATATGCCCGGTGTGATCAGAGCAACACCATACTGGAACTCTTTCGCGAACCTTCACCGTTATCTTCACGCAAATCCTCAACGAAAAAAAATTGGTGCCGCCGTCAAGCGAACCCTGTGAGACCTGGTTCGGCTCTGCGGGGGCCGCTCCTGTCAGGGTCCGTCGATCGCATGCCTCGTTCTCAGACTAGGCCAGCGGAGAGGGTTGATTTTCGAACAGTATTGGTCACAATGAAATCCGTTTCGAGTTAGATTCCGTTTCCGCGCTTACTATTCCGCGGGTTCCTGGCTCCACTGATAACGATGATCCGTTTCGAATATAGCAATGGTCATCATTAGGACTTGATATTTTTCGCGGTGATCGCGGAACTCGCGGAAACCGCGATTTTCGTCTCTCTCTGGCGATTTTCGCGAACTCGGTCTTTTCCGAAGACAGGAATATGATCATTCATTCACTGCTTTCCACCATGGAAGGGCAGTGAAAACAACAAGTTGACTGTTCCCTTGACTCCAGAAAAGCAGCCGGAGTCGAATAAGCTCCAATTTCCGACAAGCACAGACCTTTCCCGGACGGATTCGAAAAAAAATGGCTCGAGATTTATCGAAGGCACCCTCATTCGCCGCGAATAGTCCGCGAATCGTGCCTCCTTTCCGCGAAAAATCTCCAGCCCTAGTCATAATCAGATCGATGGTCTGCGTATTCTCAAGTTCGAGAACATGCGATAGGTCTGGATTAGTGCCCTCTCGTCATACAAGTCTGTATCTCGAGAACGCAAGGTGTAACTGCGTCTCATACAGATCGTGGTGTCACACGTCCGCACTCGGCAGGCTCAAAGGATGCGATGAAGAAGTCATCGTTCCATCCGATGGAGGCAACGGGATCGGAGGCTGCTTTTACACCGAAAAGGAACAAAGGGGAGTCATGAACGGTTCCGCGATCACCTTATTCAGGGATCGAACGGAGACGATGGACGACATCCGCAAAACAGGAAAAGAATTAGGGAAATTGCCACCTGAGTAGCAGTTTTCACCACGAATACATAAGTCGATGAAGAGCCTTCCGACGCCCGCAGATAAATCACGAAGCATTGCGATTTCGCCCTCGAAAAAGCACGACAGCGGCAGGAGGGTTCGGGTCGTCCTCCTTGGGATCGAATGGAAGTCCGAGGAATCGAGGGACTCGAGCTCCATCTCAAGATGGCATTCTCCGTCTGATTTTTATTCGGACTCGGATTCGGAATTCGAGGGTTTTTCGAGGGATCCCTATCGCCCGAAGCGGAGAGGGATCGGACTCCTAGCCCGATGCTCTACCGGGTCGTTCCGGAGCGCTACATGTGATCGACTTTCTTCTATCCCAAAGACGGGCAGTCTCTTGCGGCTAGAGTCGGGTTTTGATTTCAAACCTAATAGGAGCCTCGCTTCGTCACAAATCGACATTAGGCGACTCCACTTCCCACGGGAGGGAGGTTAAAATATCCTCACGAGTTTCACGCTCCAGCCAGAGAGAGCTTCCTCGTAAACGCCATCTCGTTCTCTAGCCCATCGACGATCGATATAATAATGATCGTAAATTTAACCGGGCGGTCCCTCACTCGATTTCTCTTTATTCTCGGAAGCGCTGACTTTCGGAGAGGTGCAGACAACATTTTCGCATGGACCTGAGATCAAGGATAAAGCGGGGCCACCCATCGCACTTTCTTCTCTAGATGTTCGGGGAAAAAAATGGCGAAGGCTTTCACCTCCTCCATAAAGAAAAATCGATTTTGATGCTTCTTCTCGTAGACATTAACCCTGAGAGAGTGGTTTGACTTTTTTCACAATCGTAAACTGAAAAGCAAAGGGTCAGCCCACCGCACTTTTGCCTCTAGAGCACATAGTTTCCGGGGAAAACTCGAAAGCCGAGGGTACGACCATCCTGTATAATCAGGTAAAGGACAAACCCGAAAGCAGCTGACAAGCTCGCACCGTGATGCCACTCTCATATCCTCCAATGGTCTCCCTCAGCGCTCGTTTGCGGTGAGGGGTGGTAACCCTCGAAACTCCGTTTCCATCGATATGTTTCCATGGGTATATTTATAGATATTGAGCCACCCTCTTAAGCATAATCCCCATTAGTCCACCCTTCCGAGAAAAATCGAGCTGAGCTTCTCTCCGGACGGATCGTGTCTTCGCTGTATCGAGTCCCTGCTCGTTTCTTCGGCCCTCATCTTAAGTATCTGTTCTGTCTTGCTCCCCTCGCTTCGCTAGATCATAGGGATCATCGAAGGTAAATATGGCTTCAATCTATGTCATAATTTTCGGCGCGACTGCAGATAACGGTCTCGTATCAGCGTCGACTGGAGGAGCGAGCACTCTGTCAGGCGACCCCTCAACCCGCGACGAGACTATCTACGCTATCGGATTTATCGGAACAACGCATCGCTGAAAGTGTGTCCAGCAACCCCCTCGGGTGAGAGTCCGCTATCTACGGGAACGATCATTCTTCGCAGCTTGACTCTGAGAGCTAAATTAGAGAAATGAAGGTTTCACTACATTAGCCGCGAGTGTCGAAGAGTTCACGTCCATGAAAGATGTCCCGTCGGCCGAACCGGCATGCTGCCATCATAGGGGATAGCGCTGTGATATTGACAAGACTCTGGTCTTAGTTAGAGCAACAGTGATGATGATCGTGATTTATTGATGAGAGATCGTCTGCCGCGGGCGGCTGGTATGGTAACATCTTCCCCTCATCGGATGAAACTATTCAATGTACCTCGTTGAGAATACTGACTAAGTATTCGAACCATATAACTACTAACTATCCAGGTGTCTCGATTCCGTCGTCTGAGGTCTGATGCTTTCGGCTCTGCTGGTTGACAATAATTAGCCGGCCCCGCAGCTGTCTCCCTTTGATAAATTATTCTATTTTCACAATTATTCTTATATGATCAATCGAGCGGGCGTTATGACCGGGTGCCCGCTTCGCGTGTATGTTGTCGTATTCCTGTTACTTTGACCTGGCTCCGACGTTTTGTTGAGGGGTGTCGCTGGTGAGGTTTGTTCCCTCGTTGTTCTCTGAGCTCTTAGTCGTCGCTGGACCAGAAGTTTGGCCGTTTTGAGTGGTCTCGTGACTCGTCTGTGCTTTTCTTTCGGCGTCTCGGCGAGGCTCGGTGGGGCTGCTCGTTTCCGGCTTTCCCTCCGTGCTCTGTCGGGTTGTCGAGTTCCAGGGGGTTTCGTTGTTTTCTGGGTGTTTTGCCGTCGCTGTACACTCTCTCCTCTCGAGTTTGGCACGGCTTTATCCCTGTGAGAAGTTACAGTGCGGTTAGTCGGTTTGTCGTTCTCTGCGTTTGGGACCCCAATCAAATGTCGTTTGTTGCGCACTAGTCTGGCCGCCTCGTCTGTTTCGATGAGGTAGGAACGGATGTTGACTCTCCGGAGGCACGTTCCCGATTTCCACTCGTGAGCGTAGTCAGTGGGCTGTTTGCGGACCTTTTGGCCTCCCGACAGGGGCTGCAGTTCTTTCGTATTTCGGTCGTATGTCCGTTTTTGTTGAGATCTCCTTTTCTCGATTTTTTGTTGTAAGTCGATTGAGTCACTAGGTTCCAACCTTTCCTGCCTTGTCGGCAGCAGGGTCGGACTGGGTGGACGTCGGTCCGGCGAAAATGACAAGCCCTGTGTTCACAACGAATGCCCGGACGACAGTGCCCGAAGCACCCTCTGTCGCCGGCGATCTTTATTCCCCCTCATCCTCAATAACTTCCCTCGATCATTTGCGAGGGGCTTCGCCTTCATCTAATAGACGCGCGCGTTCCCTTCCCATCGCTTGGAGTTTCTCCGTAAGCTCCTCTCTCTACCTGATGCTGCTTCTACCCCGCTCTCCCGGCTTTTACCAAAGTACAATTACAAGCGCCGGGTGATAGGGGCATCCCAACTCTCCTGTCGAGAATGTCGCCTTCGGGTTGGTCCAAGTTCGGATCAGTCAGATGGTTTCCAGACTCCGTGACAATATGATAACCGCGTCTGATAAGATGACCGATCACATGGACCAAATCGCGAAGATATTCGAGGCGCTGAGATCAGCTGGGCTGACGGTTCGTCTGGGAAAATGCACGTTCTTCATGCAGGAGGTTCAGTTCCTGGGATTCCGCATATCAAGAGCGGGAGTTCAACCGGGTACGCGCAAGCTCGCCGCTGTGGAGGAGTTTCCACGTCCGAAGGATGCGCACGAAGTGCGAAGATTCTTGGGGCTGACGTCATTCTTTCGGCGTTCCGTGAGGGGGTTTGCGGTGATCTCAAGTCCGCTGACAGCGCTGTTAAAGAAAGGAGCGGAATTTCGTTGGAGTCTGGAGTGCGAAAATGCGTTCCAGCAATTGAA